AATAAAATAAACATTAACTGAAATAAAATAAAATTAAAATTAAATAAAATATAAAAAATTAAAACTTACCGCCACTTTTTGAAAACTCATTTAGTTTAAGCTGAAATTCTAAAATAACTAAAAGTAAATAAACTAAAACTGAAACTTAACTAAATCTGTATAGGCATATAAAAAAACTAAACTAAAAAAGAAATAAAAACAAACAAAAATACTAAAACTTTAAAATTAAAATTAAAACAGGTAATATAAAAATAAAATGTAATTGAAAATATTTATAATAAAAACTATAATAGTACTAAAATACTAACAATGCATCACAAAACTTATCGATTTAATGAATCTTATGCTGCGTCCCAATTTGCCTATAGTTATACTACACCCTTAAAGTATGTACTCTTTTGCTGAAGAAAAATAAAGTATAAGAGGCTTATATAATAGGAAATAAAGACAAAAGCATACAACTCAGTCAAACGTATGATACAAAGTCAGCGCTGTAGTACGGTAAAGTTAAATAAATATATAAAGTTATGAAACATAACTTTGTGCTCAGCCAAAACAATATGACCTGGAACAAAAAATATATTCATGAGACCAAAGATTGCCTGTTAGATATACCCAAAATGAATTATATTGCATGTTTAACCACTACAGAGAGATCAGAGCCAGCGGCAAATGTCAGAAGGACTAGCCGAGGTAAAGATGCTCTCGGCGGGAAACCTGAGCACTGAGCGCCCGGTGATCGCCTGGAGCTCACATCTCCGAAATCGACGAAGCAAATTTTAAAATAGGCCCTATCTTTATAAATAAACCACAGATTTGAGTTTTAAACAACTACATTCTCGCCTGAAAAACTCTTAAAACTTCATGACACAATAACAGTAGCATTTTGAAAATGATGTTTTCTCCTCCGACTAAAGTATTATGAAACTGAAGTTTTCTCCACCGACATTAACACTCGCTGGTTGGTGCGAAATGCATTCTGGGATACCTGGCTGCCTCAAGTTCGCACAAGTCACCTCTTGATGCATCCTCGATAAAAGGGGCGGAGCAAGAACACATCTGGGGATTTGAACTGTATACTTGGATGTGAACTAGGGCTGTCAAAAAAAAATTTTGAATTTCGAATATTCGTCGAATTTAAAATAAAAATCCACATTCGAATGCAAAAACGTTGCATTCGAATTTTAGGTGTGCGTCAGGCAGCCTTTTATCAGTGGCGCACGAAATGCGACGACAATGTAATGTTTTTGTTATCCTATCCAGTTGAACCCACTAGATGCAGCGCTGCTACGTTGTTCATTCAAAATATTGCAGAAAAAGAGAACAATCAATGCGGGGAAGATGTTTTTTACGTCAAAACCGAAACCAAGCCGTTCACACAGAGCGCATATTCATCGTATTTTCTAGAGGGACATCTATCAACGCTGCACTCGCACGAGAGAGCAGCATGTTTAGAAAGCTATGTAAAATTAATGTAAGTTCAACTTTTAAAAAACATGTCTCGAGACTTTATGGCGGTTTTCCCCATCCCACTGCATCTCAAGTTTTTAAATGAAGAAAGTACTTTTTGTGATTGGTTTTCGGTCCTTTGTGTTAAACTATATATAAATGCATAAACAAGCAACTTTATTAATTATATATGGTTTATAAACATCATTTTAAACATTATGCACTTTTTTTTTTAAAGATAGTTGTGTTATTTTATTATGCTTTGAAGAAACGTGCATAATATTTTCCTCGATGCGCCCTCTTGTGGCCTCAGGAGAGAAGCCAACAGCTTTTTTTCCCCCTAACTGAAATTATGCCTTTTAAATTCGAATATAAATCGAATATTGATAATATTTAAGTAAAAAATTCGAATTTAGTTTTTCAGCCATTTTGACAGCCCTAATGTGATCTTCGAATTCGAACAGTACTTGGGCAATGACTGATGACATTTCACAAGTCCACAAGAACTCAAGTACAGACAAGAATGCATATTGAGAAACGGCTTCAGTCTCTCGTAGCCAGACCTTCAGACTGATGGAAGAAGGTCTGGGAACCTTGACCACGTTGAATGGCCAAAGACTGGCCAAGAGGCCACATGACTGACAGGTAAAGCAACCAATCACAATTTGTTTTGTGCCGAGTCATGTTTAGAGGCATGGAAATGTCTCCACAATTACAGACCAGGGTGTAAAACTCTTGGACGTATTTTAAAGGCTGAGGCTGAGACTACTGTAAACTTGCCTGTCAATCATCTTGTCACAGTTAACATCCTCCACATTTCATTTCATTTAACCTCTTACCGTACTGGAGAAAAAAAGCCGTGCGATGCCAGCCGTGCATCTTTATGCGGAGATCTCTGCTCATAATTTTTGAATGATGATGCATTTAAAAGTTAATGGCCAAAAAGTTAATGTTTATAAAAGTTGACGTTGTTGCAGAAGAAATATAACAGATAACATTAAATAATTTTTTTTACTAGGTTAAATGTTGATTACTAGTAACTCAAACCCCTTTATCTAAAACTCTCTACTTAACCGTCGGTCGCACATTATCTACCATGTTTGTAGTTTTAACACTTTATTCGTGTTTGTAGATCTGAACTGAATCCTTCGCCAAAGCGCAATGGATTGTAGGCAACATTAGCCATTAGAGTGGGCACAGATCCACACTTCAAAAAATCTGAAATAGACCATCCGGAGACTTTTGGCATACACTTTACAACATACTATGCTTACAGACACACTTATTTTAATCTCACATACTATTTAGGTTAGATAGTATGAACATTGGGACGCAGGGTTATTGATGTTTGTGCAGTTGTTTTCCCTCCAAAATGATGTTATATCCTGGATGAACTGACTTTTGTTATTTAAAGGGATTATTAATGATATCAATATCTTAAAACTTATGAATGCATTAATATATATATATATATACCTGTATATATATTCTTACTCAGTATTTTTGTCTTGTTTTCCGGTACAAATGTACAAATATCTAAACATTCTTAAATCAAGATACTTGAGAAGCAAAATTACATAAGATATTCTTGTTTTTTGAAAGATGTATCATTATTATGTGAGTTTTTGCTTAAAACATGAAAGCATATCTAAATAAATAGGGTAAGAAAAATTACAACTTAATTCAAAGGAAAAACAAACTTATTTTTCTCACTCCACTGGCAGAATTTTTTTCTTGTTTTCAGGTAAAACTCACTTAGTTTTATTAATTTTTAAGAAAACAAGATATAATATCATTATCAATATCATAATGTCATTAAGAATAACAGCCCAGAACATTCACCTTCTTGGCATGGAGTTCTGCTGCTATTTAAACAAAAGCTGACATCATTGTTATGTGCTAACTAATTACAGTCACAATTATGAATAAGAACCTTGCAGGAGTAACGGTGACAAGATGGATCTATTGAAACCTGTCAGGAACATGTTAATTTATCCCAAAATCACATAAAAAATAAAAATAAAAGAAAGAAATTGCATGTTGCATAAAGAAAATGAGCCTGTCTTGTTGAATTGTGACATTATTTTCATGATAATGAAGCATATTTTCTCCCACGGTTAATATCTGCTTTTTTAACATCCTTTATTAAACCAATTAGAGATGATGGTTGTACAAACCTTTATGTGGCTCTTCATTCACCCTTTACAAACACAGAGCAAACACCCAATGCTTTATGTTTCAGAAGAATATTAGACAAACAAACCATTCAATGTTCATCTAAAGCTCAACATAGTGTCAGTTTACAAGCACTCAAACTTTATCACCTTGCTTCATTTTTACATTTTCTTTTCCAAATAGAAACAAAATTGCCAATTTTTTTTCCAGTTTGAGACACACCAGTCTCCATTTAATCACTATTTCATTTATTTGTGATCTCTCTTTTGCACGAGATAACTGACATTTGTTGTCTTAGTATTTCAGATACTCAAATCAAACACAAATTTGGCAAATGTATGAGCAATTTAAAGCACTCAGCGACCCAAAAAAGCAACAACAACAAAAAAATTAATTATAATTATATACTGTATATATATACAGTATATCAAAGCAAACATCATCCACAAACATCATCTGCTATTTCTTTAATAGTTCTACTGCCTAAATATAAGCCACTGTTTCTGTTTTCATTTTTTTTTCATGGCTTGATGCTTAATTTCTATGCTTAATATAATTGCTGATTCTTTCAATATGATTGAGGATGTGTTTTATGGGTGTAGGGCATCGGATAAGAAGGATAACAAACGTAAAACACCTTTTCCTGACTTTAATTACCTCATATGCAAATGAAGACCAGTTCTAACTTCCTGTTGTTTTCCTTTGAATTTAATGAAAAAGTTAATTGCATTATGAAAAATTATTACTTTAAATTTGTTAGTTCAAAAAAAAAAAAAAAAGATGTTTTGCATGCATCTTCTCAAATGTTTCATTAAAACAGACTGTTTGGTTGAACTGGGTTGACGTCTCGCAAGATCTTACAGACTTTTGTAGACTTTCTGGTTTGAGAAGTGAAGTGGAAACACAGGCCATAATTATGATTCCTTCAACTGTCTGTTTCTGTGTACCTGCCAAAATGTTTTAGGCGTTCCTCCATCCGGACTGCATCAATGGGACGATAACATTCCTATCACCACAAAAAAAAAAAGCATCTACACCATTTTACATAATCAGAATATTTTCTTTGAAAAAATCACAGGTTTTAACATGCACTGATCAAATGTCTTATGGATTGTGTCATTTTTTATTTTAGAGGAACTTACACGGTTTTTTATTCAGTATTCATTGCATCAGCCAATCAAATACATGAATCAGACAAATACATAGTGATAATTTAAGACACACATATTCAGCAAATACAGTGGATGTCTAAAATATTCTTCAGTTAACTCACGGTTCTTAGTCTAATGTTTATTGTGGGCCCACAGACTTGTTTTTCCACCCTTGGGTGCGGATGAGCAGGTATACGTGTCACCTGAGGGCAGATCCAAAGTATAAATACAAGCAAGAAAACGGCATTTCCACACTGGAGAGCAAGACGAGACAAGAGGTAAGACATTCCTCATGTATTAGCTGCGACAGAGACTTGTCAAATGCATGATTCATGTGACCGTTTGGTGACAAATATCACTAAATATGACTAAATTCACTCTTTGTCCATTTAGAAAATTCATTCGCAAGGATTTTATCTCATGAAACATCAAACTAAATATAACAAACATGCATGCAAAGAGAATCTTGCTTACAGGTCTTTTTCATTGTTTAGTGTTACGGGCGTGTTGAATATCTGAAAATCTCAACATGAGTGATCCAAGTAAGTGATATTTCTGATATACTGACATCTTTCTATTTGTGGCATCGGAAGACATTAAGTTTAAAATGTTTAGTTACACTTTCACAATTATTTTGATTAAATGCTATCAGAACAATTATTTACGCTTATATTTTTCCAAATTTCTCCTGCAGAACAACCACAGGATTGCGGAGATTCTGGTTCTGGCTCCGAGGTATAACACTCCGTACATTTCTACTCAATTACAATTCTACACAAATGGTTACAGTTAGTAGTTCTTCAGTTGCATGGTAATCATATTGTCATATTTTCTGTCTCACAGAGCTCAGGAGATGAAGGTGGAAAGGTAAAAACAATCTCTAATCGTGAAAAAAATTAAATGCACTTATTTCATGACATATCCAATGATAGACTGCACGTCTGATTTTACTTCTACTTGTAGAAGCGTGGAAAGGGCCAAGGCAAAGGCAAAGGCAAAGGACAAGGTCATGGACAAGGACACGGTCATGGTCAAGGAGGTGAACATGGGAAAAAAGGATGTGAGCAACAAAAAGGAAAAAAGTGACAAGTTCATAGCCTGAGGCCAGGGCAGTCCATTTGTCCTCATGACTCAACTGTTCAACTCCATTTTGAACCCAAAAAAATAAATTAAAACACCCTGAAACGAGTTGTGTCTGACTTTTATTGAGCCTGGGACCGTTCAATGGAAATTTAGTTATGTTGTGAGGTATTAAAGTGGTCTCTAAACACTCAGATATTGACAGCGAAACATGAAATAAAATGCCCGAGATATTACATGAATAACAGAATTTAAAAGGTCATCTCAAATTACATATATTAAGGTATATTGTTACGCAACCAATGATTTTTGGGAACTGTAACTGATCTGCTGCCACTGGACACAACCAATTACATCAGTACAGGTTCTGCAAGTTTGGCACCCTAAATATTAAACTAAACTTAAAGTAGATGCATGCCATCCATATTAAAATGCATAAGACCTACAAATAGCCCAAATGAAAGTAGAGTACTTAAGCGGGAATTGTGCCAAAGTTGATGCTTACAGGTTGAAACCTGGGAGTGTGCTCCAGTCAGCATTCTTATTCAACTCAAATCATGCATGTACCAACAAGTCCCCACCCTGGTCTTAATTTTTTTTGGAGATGCTAGTACGAAATGTTACTTAACTTTAACTAGGAATAAGAACTTAGTCCAATAACTCAATGAATCACCCACTTTTCAAGGGGAGTTGGTTCCAGAAGTTCAACATTTAATGCCCCCCCAAAAGGAAAAAAAATAAAACCAACCCACACACCTGCAAACAACAAGATTCCTCATCTAAAGTTGACAAACATCCTAAGTTAATAGCAGAAACTTAAAACAAATATCTGCAGTGCTTAAAAGGAAACCAGCATTCCCTGCAGAGTTTGACAGCTCAGATTGGTGCGGCTCTTTAGAGCATCATGGGGTAGTGTACAGTAGTTTTCCCACATGGAACCCCACTTTAACAGTTCTCTAAACCGGAGTTCACTGGAGGTCCATCTTTAAAATGTCAAGTTGACATTAATTTCCCTACTGAGAAAAGAGCTTTTCCTTCCGGAACCTGAAGTACAGCTAGGTTACCAGTTTCCCCACATTTACAGAACATTCAAAACAAAATTGGTTAAACTAGACAAAAGAATAAGTTTTTCCCCTTTATTGAAAACCAGCTAAAGTCTTCTGCCGCTCTTGAACCATTACTGGACCGAGTGAGGCCTTGTGAGGCACTAACAATGAGGAACTCAAACCTAAACACTTTATGACCGCTGACTTGCCCTAGTTCTCAGTGACAAAGTGGCTACAGGGAGAAAACTCAAAATCAACTACAGCATTGTGATAACCTTACCCATGATTCTCAATGATGGAATATCTCGGAAGAGTATTCAACATTAGGTACTTGGGTGGCCACACAGCGGTCCACAAACACACGCAGGGGGACATGGTTGTACACCTTCACAGATGCCTCAATATTAACAACATCACCCAGGAAGTAAAAGTTTGAAGGCCTCTGATAGGACCAGTCATCTGCAAGAGGAAAGAACAGTTTAGGCACAGCCTCATTATGCCTCTTAAGATACCACAACTAGATCCTAGTGAACTGGCAAATTACAAACCCATTTCAAATCTTCCATTTGTCAATTTTTAGAAAGTTGTCTGCACAACAACCACAACACTATGAGGAGTTTGTCAGGTTTCAGACCCCATCATAGCACAGAAACTGCACTTGTTAATTACTTGCATCAGCCCAAGGCTGCATCTCATTGCTAGTTTTACGTGATCTTAGTGCTGCGTTCGACAATAGATCATGACATTCTCAGATATATTACAAAACTATACAGGTATTCAAGGGCAGGCTTTAAGATGGTTTAGATCAGGGCTGTCCAAACTCTGTCCTGGAGGGCCGGTGTCCTGCAGAGTTTAGCTCCAACTTGCCTCAACACACCTGACCGGAAGTTTCTATGCCTAGTAAGAGCTTGATTAGCTGAGAAACAATAATGTACGGTATGTGGAAAATAGCGTTTTTTAACCTTAAACTGCATAAACATTTCATTACACCAAATAATGTTCTTTTTAGCAACATATGACCCCTTTAAAAGTTTAGTTTATTATTGGAACAGATTTGGGAAAAAAAAATTGGCATTACATCATTTGCTCACCAATGGATCATCTGCACCAGAAGGAATCCAAACAGCTGATAAAAACATCACAATCCACATCAATTACGGTCTTGTGAAAAGAAAAGCTGTGTACGTAAGAAACAAATCCATCAAGATGTTAACTTTTAACTGTTGCTTCCGGCCAAAATATCCGGAAAAGTTCTTGACTGTGTTGAAGCATTAAAATGATCATGAAACACAATGTTCCTAAACTCAAAGTAATAGTGCCAAACCAACAGATTTTAAGAAGTCAATGGGATACCAAACATCTTAATTCCAGACAATATTAAGGCTCAATTTGAGTGTTGTGGTCAAGGATTTCTTTTTGGAATTATATTGATCTACTGCCCAAAAAGCTTACATCAGTACAGGTCCTGCAAGTTTGGCACACTACACATTAAACTGAACTTAAGAGTTGCACACCACTTTCCGGAATTAAAAATGGGAAAAAAAAAAACCCAGTTGAAGAGGGAAAGCTGGGAAGTGTGCATCCTTTAAAATACCTATTGATATAAAATAGTGCATGTACCAGCAGGTCCCCATGACAGTCAACAAGGAATCCGATCTAAAACTTATCAATTTTATTTAGGAATGAATGGAGAAATAAAACCACTCCTTTAAAAAGTTACCAACATATGCAGTGAGCTGATTGATTTCTATAAGACGCATACAAACCATCTGAAGTGCTTCAGGGAAGAGGGTGTTCAAGCAGAACTTAGCACAAACTCTGGTGTAATTTTCTTTACAGCATCTTGGGCAATGGATTCCACTTTTAAACAATTCTTTAAACAGTACTCAGTAGGTCGGTCTTTAAAGGTTAAGTTAATATTTCCCTACTGAGAAAAGGGAGCTTTTCCTCCTAGAAAATAGGCACAGTAGGACTACCAGTTTGCCCACATTTACAGCACATTCAAAACCAAATTTGTTAAACTAGAAACCAGAATAAATTTCTCCATTTATTGAAAACCAGCTAAAGTCTTCGGTCGCTCTTGAACCATTACAGGACCGAGTGACGCCTTGCCTTCCCACTGAATGCCTAGAAAAAGCAAACACCCAAGTTAAGTAGAGCACTTGAAGTGTCAAAAGCAATCTTAAAGCAGCTACCTACCCCCAAAAGCATTTCCACCATCAGGACCACATGTTGAGTCACAGCAACCACAAACCTGGTGGTTCCCATCAGCAGCAAGCCACCTGCAACAAGAAAAA